TAAGTACGAGAAGAGTGAGTGTGATTTAAAGCCCCAGGGCTCTCAAACCGACACCAGACCCGGTCTTTTGATGTCTGATGAAGAGACCCAAGTTAGTTGAGGTATTATGGTGTCTTCACATCAACCCAGATTAACCTCATTAAGATTATAGAATTGAAATCACTACTGGTTACATGTAATCGTATGTGTGTGTGTGTGTGTGTGTGTATGTATGTGTGTGTGTGTGTGTGTGTGTGTGGTCTCAGTTTGAAGTAGCAGAATCGGAGCTAATTACCATGTGAGCAATTAAAAACAGTTTGAAGTCTTTCAGATCTGGCACTTGGTGTCGGCTTGCTTCCCAGGAGTGTGTTAGTTGAAAGTCTGCATACTCACACTTATTCACACATTTCATTATTGCTTTTCCCAGTTTACTCAGATGGGAGGGAAAAAAGCCAAGGAAAAACTAAACTTTAAATCAGAGAAATTTCTTATTTCTGCAGATGTTGTTGTGAACTTGCACTGTGAGTGTTGGGATGTGGCATCAGCCAAACGTTGGGGGACGTTTTTACACCGACTCGCCTTGAAGTGCTTGTACATTCATTGAAACAAAAAGCCACCTTCAGTGCAGCTGTATGTCCGCGCTACACAGTGCATTTGAACTCAGTGACTGTTGCCAATAGCATAGCTGAGAGCAAACACTGTGAATAACTGCGTGCACTGTTTGTAATGAAACTGTTTGTAGTTCCGACTGGATTGTTTTGAAGTTAGATACATTTCATAAATTAGCAATGTATCATTTTAATTTAATAGCGAGGAGATAAACATATAATGTACACTACAGATCTGAAGCATTGTTGATGTAGAGCAATTATAACTGACAAAATCATCTCCTGTACATTTGAAGAACGATATTTTTATGTGGCATGCATGTTGTTGCCCATATAGAGCAATCCAAATCAGTCAATGAGGTTCTGTAATAGTTGATATGTTGCCTTAGGAGGCAGCTGCCTATGCTGGCAGTAGACATTCATGCCTTAAGCTGAGACAGACCTTGAAATGAAGAGTATAGCGTGCTGTATTTTGGCTTGCAGTCAGATCTCTAAACAATGGCATTGAAATGAAACCTGTTGATGTATGGACAGATATATCATACATTCCCATTACTGTAGCCTCCTTATCACTACAAGAGAGACAAGCTGTGGTTGTGTAATCTAATATTTGGATGGATGGAATGTGACTGAAGAGATAGAGATGGGGAGAGACAATAAAAAGGGAGATAACGTGAAGTTGCACAGAGGAACAGGCGATGCTGAGTGGCTTTTCATAGTCATTGAGTCAGTGAAGCCTGATTCAATCTGACTTTCATATTAAAGCGATTCACTGGGATTCAGATTCCCTCTCGTTCTCCGGCCTGGATTCCTTCACCACAAAGGCTGTCAGATTTCCTCTCTTCCAGCTCCTCTGTTTGCTCTGCTTCTGCCTCTGCCTAGTATCATGTCTTTTTGTTTTCTTCTTGTCCTTTGACTTTCTGTCAGTTTCGTTTTGTCTTTTGTTCACGACAAGGGATGAAGCATGTGGAGAGACCCAGGAACTCGAGGAGCTTTTCTCTCTGTCACTAAGTTTGAGTGTCTCATTCAAAATCTAGAGTGCATTACAATCCTATGCTTCACCATTCTCCGTTAAGCCTGTAAAACAGTCTACCTCATTATACACTCAGCAGCTCCCATCAGTAATACAGCACAGAGTCCTTATGTAACCTTTTGTATGCAGCTGAATGTGGGCAGAATCTTAATCTTACTTTCTAAGTCAGCTATTTCTCAGATAATTGGATGCTTTACCTTGTTGACCCAATGACTCCATCTGTCATACTTGTCAGGGTTTTCATGGCTGCTAAATCAGTCAGCACCTGTCAGAGAAGCAAGGTGTGCGGTCATATAGGTGTTACTTAATATTTCACATTTTCAGATTTTGGGTTTGCTCCTTTACATCCGAAATCAAGATTACACTGAGTGACCATTAGGCAACAATATTGAAGGGCTAACTGCTAGGTAGCATGTACAACTAGGTGTTATAGTTATTTGCTTAGAGGTTTTGGTAAATGCTTCTGTTGACTGTATATTTACACAGTTCATCATTATATACCAACAGTATAGACACTGAAATATGGATACGAGAGGAGAGATGAGTCTGTGGTGCTTTGCAAAGTTATATTTCTGGCTTTAATACAGAATATCTGCCAGGAAGAGGAATAGAGATTAGCCTTAAAAGAGTATGAGAAATCCACATCTGAAATCCTCTCACCTCACTTCCTCTCTCTTCTACCAGCCTGTTTTTTCTTGTCTCTCTTTTTCATCCTACTCCTCTTTTCTTATTTTAGTTTCAGTCAGCTTTTTCTGCATTTTCCTCTCAAAACTGCTATTCCCTTGAGCAAAATAGCATCACAATATTAGGAAAAAGGTCTACGAGTGGTAGGGGCTCCAAAGCGCTTAGAGTAAGTCGTATGCAAGGAAAGGAAAAAGATCCCAAACCCAAAAATCACAACTGAATGTTTTTCATTTGTTGTATGTAAGTAACCGGATTAAATGAATCATACCAAATTACTCTTTGTTTCTTGCCTTTTTGCAGGTCTATGATTTAAGTGGCTTTTGAGCTTCCAGACTGGTCCAGAAGGATTAGGAAAGGTGAGTCCTTTCCTACCAAAAAAAATGAGTGTGGGAGGAAGAAGCAACAGCAGTGTGGAGCTTGTCCATCTCTCCTCCCTCTCACTGAACACCAGCAGTCTCGATCCAGGATGCTCTCTCCCCTGCGACCAGTGCCCTCATTTTTGGCCGTGAGACTACAGTGGGCTCCATAAACATGTACAGAGACACAGGGGTGTGTGCCACCCCTCTCTCTCAAGCTCTTCCTCCACCCCACCTCCGTCTACCCCTCTATAATGGCCACTCTTCCATGGTCGATCCAGCCCCGTCCCGTGTCTCCGTGCCCAAAATGGGGGTTCGAGCTCGGATTGCTGAGTGGCCTCCTCGCAGGGCACTTTCACGAGAATCGCTGCTCGAGAATGGCCAGGGCAGTCATCCGGATGACCTCAACAGTGAGGATGGGCTTACACATGGAGGTGAGACCAGGTTACCACAGGGAGGTACCAGAGACGATGACTTCCTTGAATCAGGTCAAACGAGAGCTCCATGCTCACCACAGAGATTTCGGACTTCTGGGTTCGCTCCACTCCGACAGCGCTCCAACAGCGAGATTACATTAAGTGAGCAAGATGAAGCAGAGGTCGAAGGCCGTTTGTTTCGGGAATATGGCAGTACCTCTTCCATCAATGTACAGGCTGTGCCTGAGCAAAGCTTCTTTGACATGCTCAGCCAGTTTCAACAGGAGCGACCAGACCAGCGTAGCACAGCCCCCGCCAAGCTTGGAGAGCTGCTTGGTGCTTCTTTAGAGGGACCCCCCTCACACGCCTTCTTGTCGACACCTCGGCCCGATGACCGCCCAGAGAATTGTGTACGCAAAAAGAGTGGTGGCACGGAGTCGTCTCTTGGCACCTCCTCCTTATTCCGCAAACTCCGCAGCTCCAGCCGGGGAGAAACAGAGACTCCACGAGGTGACTCGGATGACACACGACTCCCCGAGACAATGTCTTCCATACCCTGGGTATGTGTGCGGAGTTTTGCCCACTTTGACATTCAGAGCGTTCTGTTTGACTTGCACGAGGCGGCAGCTCGTCGCAGCTACGCCGCCCAGCGGCGAAACACAGCCACCGGAGCTTCAGCTGCTTCTTCGGCTGCTGTTTCTTTGGCAGTTTCTAGAGCTATTGCTCTGGGGGGAGTGGAGCCCAGCTTCTCCAGCACTGATGACCTCAGTGTCAGGGACCTATCGGAAGAATCAACCCCAGGACTGGAACATTCAGAGCAGGGTGGTTCAGCTAGCATTAACCCCAAATCTCAGCAACAGCTGTTGCTGAGCTGCCCACACTTCATCAATGAGACCGGAAGCTACAGGGAACGTAATGTCAGCTTCCTGAGCTCATGGGCAGAGCGAGGAGAGGCTGGCATCGTGGAGGCCCGGCTTCGTCCACGTTGCAGTAATGCCAGTGTGTCCAAACTGGAGGTACCGCCAGAGGTTCAAGCCACCAGGTTAGAGAGACTGCAGCAACACTGCATCGAGCATGTTGACCTGGGTGCCAGATACTACCATGAGCACTTCTATGGGAAAGGTAGGACTTTTATGATTTGTATGTAGATAAAGCAAACTGCTAGATCACAAGTTCCCTGTTTGTCAGTAATTCATTTTGGGCAGGTTGACTACATATATCAAGATATGCAATGCATCAGCATATCATAATTGGATTGCATTTGAAACCCAGTGTGTTTGCAGGATCAGTTTCAATCTCGCTTGTGTGGTTTACCTCATTTATGTTAAATGCAGCATCTCATTGAGGTGGCTCTGACCTCCGATTGTATCTACCTGCCCCCCCCTCAATTATACTCCTGTATTTAATGGTTTCCCTTCACTTAGGGTGTGTTCACACTTGTCATGTTTGGTTCGATTAAAACGAACTCTGGTGCGATTGCTTTGTTAGTGCTGTTCGTTTGAGTAAGTGTGAACGCTGCTATCTGAACCCTGGTGCGCACCAAACAAGCATACCTCTAAAAAGATGGGTCTCGGTTCGCTTCCAAACTAACTCTGGTGCGGTCCGAATGAAATATTAACGCAACATGGAGCAAATACTTCTAAACAAACCAAAAACAGGAAGTAATGACAAGATGCGACGCTATGCGACATGATTTGACGACACGGTGTAACCAAAACAAAATGAGCAGAGGGCAAACGTGGAGCAACGATGAGGTAAAGTGCCTTATATGAGCTCCTTGTGAGTTTGCAGGTGGTGAAAATAAAATTATATGTGCACGCAAGAATGAGCACGCTTAGTCCAGCAGACGGCATTAGGTGTGTTTGACTTAAAGCAGCGCTGAGCAGACCGATCGGTTAATGGATGTTTTGATATCATACACCCGCAGCGCCACTTTAAGTCTAACGAACCTTTTGTTTGGGGTGTTCGGTAAGTTCCGTCACGATATACACGTCATTCAAGCTGACCAATCAGGTTGTGAACATATCACTATGCCTTTAGTTTCGGAGTCTTTAGGTTCGCTGTCAAAAATGCCAATGTGAACACTAAGCGGACCAGGACCAAAAAGGTATCATTTTCCTTTTTGGTCTGGACCAAATGAACCAAACAAACTACAAGTGTGAACACACCCTTAGTCTCATTACAGGACAGGTCTTTGGGATTTACACTCTTAGAAAATTCTGTAAACCCAAGCTCAACCTGCAGTCCGTCCTTTGGAAGAGATTATCAAAGCATTCCACAATTATCAGTGGTTCTCACTATTAGCCAATAGAAGTACAAAATGGAGCTGAAGCTACTCTCCTACCACACATCTGCCTCCCAAATGTTAATCTCGCTAAAGGTCTTGCTTTCTAAAATGCCAATGTTATAAAAAAACCACAGTCAAAAAATAGCATGCTCGTCACCTCTTAGCCACATTAGATAAATCCTTGCAGACGTGGGGTTATCTGAATGCTCTAATTAGTTGTCTGTGTTTATTAAGTAGAGTTGGTGAGATAAAGGTTACCATTCCAGTAGTAATCTCTGTCATCCAGATTTTTTGGAAGTGTGTTTTGGTCTTGCTTTCTAAAATGCCAATGTTATAAAACCCACAATGTCAAAAAATAGCATGCTCGTCACCTCTTAGCCACATTAGATAAATCCTTGCAGACGTGGGGTTATCTGAATGCTCTAATTAGTTGTCTGTGTTTATTAAGTAGAGTTGGTGAGATAAAGGTTACCATTCCAGTAGTAATCTCTGTCATCCAGATTTTTTGGAAGTGTGTTTTCGGTGACCATGCTGCAAATCAGAAAGGGCATGCTGACTGGTTTTTATATTTTTAGATCTTAACTTACAACATAAACTAAGCAACAGTGCAAAATGCAACCTTCTTTGTGTGGGTGCACATAAAAATGTCCCATGTAATAGTTCTTGAAGGTGAAGTGTGTAATTTTTGCACCACAAGTAGCATTAAATACGAACACAAATAATTTTTGTACATTTTCTTCTTTTCATTTCTTCAATAGCTTATGCTGCCGCATTAGGCTGGTTGAGATGCTTGGTTAATTGGGATGTTTCGATAGCACCACAGTCTTAATACCTGTTGGGAAAATCAACCTATGATTGGCTTACTTGCAACTTACTTGCTTGTTAGCTGGGAAAGGAGAAAGTATTAAAAAAATTTAAATTACACTTTTCACCTTTAAGCCATGCTTTTCATTGTTGTCTGTTTTTCTTATTTGAGTGTTAAATGTTTAAGTTAATGAGGAAGGATTCCAGGCCACCAAGGTATTTTTCCTTGTGGAGCCAAGTACTTCTCGTTATCCGTTTACTTAATTTTCCAGTGTAGCGGCACCTTGTTTTAGATAGTGAAATACCTCTGCTTTGTCGGTGAGCCACTGAAGCAGTGTGTGTGGATGTGTGTTGGCGTGCCAGCCATACAGCGGTACTGACTTGGCATTCCTCGGTCAGGAAGGGCAACACTCTGCATAGTATCAAAATCTTTGCTGCGTTATTAAAAAGCCCATATCTGCATGCTCCTGAGACTTATAATTCTCTCAACTCAAGTTTCCTGAGCTTTCAGTATCCTCACAAAACAACCAAACTCATATCCTGTGCTGAGAAAAACTGGATGACAGTTTAAGGAAACATTAGTCCCAATGCCAACAGGAAATTAAGACTGGAAAATGTAAAGATATCACATTCACATGCTTATTCTAATGTAGTATTTTTGCACCCTGCTATAATCAGATCATATAATAGTAAATCATAGTCAAATATAGGAAACAAAAATTATTTCATGCAAAAAATAAACATATAGTGCAACATGCAGTCCAATTCGTGGATGAATTACATGATTAGTGTGGTCCTTTTTAAAACTGTTGTCAAATCAGACCAAAATGACCACAGGAGACATCCACCTGAATCATGAACTTGAATCACTTCCTCGGTGAGTCACTGATTACTCTTTCAAGCACAAACCACATGCTATGTGCAGCTTGAACTATGTTATGGTTATCTTTTGAAAGTAATGATAAAGTTCCAAACCAAAAAGTTTATAGAAACTTAAAATCTCTTAAATCGGTAACTGACTCTGTAGGCCTATATCATTTATGAATGTGTTGCCATAAACTGTAGATTTTAGAGTTCTGTTGTAATAAATAGTTTTTCAATTAAAAACCTGTTATAAAAATAGTATTGTTATTGTTTAGCACGATTCACAAATTCGGATCTTCAAGGTTTATGTGCTCCGCTGCTAAAAGCTGTAGGAAACGCAGGAGAATGATAAATTCCTTCATTCTCAAAAGCATGTGCAGTATTGTATTAGTGACTTTGTCTATGGTTTTCTATTAGATTTGAATGCTCACAGTACCTACAGGAAGTTCTATAGCCACCATGACCTAGATTTGTAGTTTCCCTTACAAATCCCTCCTTTGTCCCGTGTACTTCCCTCCATCTCTCATCCTTCATATCAACTTCCACTTTTCTCCTATCCATTGTCTTCACCTCATTAATTATTTTCTTTTCTTCTATATTCTCATTTTCTGTAATAATGGTATTAATCTGTTTTTTTTTATATCCTCTCTCTATTTTTATTTCTCTCTCTCTCTCTCTCTCTCTCTCTCTCTCTGCCCCCACAGAGCACTGGAACTACTTTGGTACCGATGAGAAGCTGGGGCCCGTGGCTCTTAGCATTCGAAGAGAGAAACTGGATGATACCAAAGATTTAAAGGACCAGTACCAGTACCGCATCATTTTTCGCACTAGTGAGGTGTGTATGACACAAATATTTGTGCAAATAAAATTAATTAAACCTGGATCAGATCAGCTCACATAAACCCACGACAAGACAATTAATTTACCCACAAACACATAGTCTCCGTGGGCTTCTCTGGCCACTTTAATCTATCTTTTTGAGCATAATATTTAAGCATTTTGTTGTCTGTTCTCACTGCGATCTGATTAAATCTGTGGCTTGAGAGAGGTTAGGCACAGTAGGGAACAATGTAGAGATCCTGAGACCATTTTTACTTGGTTTGCTCATAATTCGAGACAAAAATTAATAAAATCATTTTGAGTACTTTGGGCTTCTGGATGCGTCTTTGCCATTTTTATAAACTTATAGGAGGGCGATACTAGTTCATGTCATGTTTACGTATCTATCCCATCAAATCTCATGTGTTACACTGTAGTTGAAAATCAATTCTGAGCATGTTTTGTGCCTTACATGCAAGACATTGCTGTAAAGAACATGCAGTCATGTTTGCTTAGTAATGGTGTGTTTGAAAAGTGCTGAGCTGTACTGGTATGACTGCTGCTCTGCTGGGTTTAGTCAGATTACATGGCTGCCTGGACACATCAAACTCACCCACTCTGAACAATGCAGTGTCTTCAGTTCGTTCACATTCGCACAGTCATTATTCTTACTATAGATGTGCTCATAACTCATTTCGAAATACCCTTGAACATGTGTAAACTGGTTCAAGAGCGTTATTTTGGTCAGAGGTTCGAGTTGAATGATTGAACTGTCCATGTGACCAGTCATACGACGTCTTAAGATGTGTGATTAATAGTACAAGAAACCGGAAACACAAGCCTCAAAAATAAAATATTTTAAGCTATCCAGGGTTTCCGCCTGTTTGGACTAATTTTACAGTAGCTAATGGCTTTAGCATTAGCGTGTGTGAGGTTGTGTCAGTTTGTGAGGTCCTGCAAGGCAATGAATCGGGGAGCAGTGGGGAAAGGATGCCACACAGTGGGCATTTCTGGACACCATTTTTCAGCCATTCTTTATCATTCTCATGCTCTGTCACATGCTCTCGGAGGATATTTGAGCAGTCATATGATGGTATTTGATGTTGTGTATGTGTGTGTGTGTCTGTGTGCTTCTCCCCACATGGTTTCCTGTGGCTGCTGCAGCTGGTCACGCTACGAGGAGCGATCCTGGAGGACGGGATTCTGTCCACAGCAAAGCACGGAACGGTTCGTGGTTTGCCTTTAAAGGAGGTTCTGGAGTATGTGCTGCCAGAACTTAGCGTGTCCTGCCTGCGAATGGCTCTCAGCACACCAAAGGTCACGGAGCAGCTTCTTAAAGTGGACGAGCAGGGGGTGAGTAAAGGATGACCCATCGGACACTACTTCCTGACTGATGAAAGTGTCAAAAGTCTAGCTTTAAGTTCTTTTAATAGTTCCCCAAAAATGAAAATAGCAGTGTACCTCATATTTGTTTGTGTGACTCTGCCACTGTGTGTGTCTTATAGCTCAGTCAGAAACACAAAGTGGGCATCCTGCTGTGTCGAGCGGGACAGAGCACTGAGGAGGAGATGTACAACAATGAAGAGGCTACGCCAGCCTTCACCGCCTTCCTGGAGCTGCTGGGAGAAACTGTGTGTCTGAGGGGTTTCAACAAATATGCTGCCCAGCTAGACACTAAAAGTGAGCAAGGCTTTCTGTCTCTTTTACACGTGTCATAAAAAGGCTCAGCATGATAAAGTGTCAAGCGATAAATCGCATCTCTTCCATGTTAATCAGAGTTCTTGTCCTAACCCACCGCGACCATCAAAAGCGTGGTGTGTAAATACATTTTGACAGTCTCTTGGTTACAATTGAGGCGTCACACTGGGTAGCTCCATGAATTCACAGTGAAATTTCATTGGTACAAAATCTTGCTCAGGACGGCTCAAACAAACAGACTGTAATTTAATTTGGTAGCACGGAAATTATACACGGCACTGTTTCATTTAACAACATTTTCAATGCTCATATCACACACACACACACATTTACTTGGATATCTAAATGGCGGCATTCCATAGACTTCTATTTTTTTTACATACAGCTAGTTATTACTAGCTTCAGCATAGTTTCAGCATTTTTACTATATATATGTGAGTAATTAAAACCAGAATAGATAACAGATCTGCTGTTGTTTACGCACACTCCATATCCAAAATCATGTAGGAACATCTTGATAGACACTGTATGCTATAATATAATGTACATTAGTATCCAAAAGTCTGAGATAACTAATAAAAAGGCTTCTGTTTTGCATTTTTCTGATATTTGTTATACTTATTACAAATTATATTATAAACCTGACTATTTAAGTGAAAAGTTGAATTAACACAATACAATTAATAATTTCATAATCTGGTATGGTTTGTTCCCCTGCTTTAATGACAGCAGCATGAACTCTGTGTAAAACCTGATGGTCATGTTCTCCAGTATATATATATATATATATGTATATGTGTATACACAGACACATTCATTTTAATTTGTGGTTAAACTGTTATACCATATTTTCAGTGCGGTACATTGACATTGCCACTGCACATTGTCTTTACAATGATTAATATTCATGTGTATGTTTAACAGCTGACTCAACTGGAACACACTCACTGTATACAACCTATCAGGACTACGAGATCATGTTTCACGTGTCCACCATGCTTCCATACATGCCCAACAATCCTCAACAGGTAAGACACACACACACATGCACGTCAGTACATCCAAGAGCCTGTATAGAACCGACATGACCCAACTTATCCTGACACATCCCTCCCCATCTCTCTCACCTGAACAAACTCAGAATGTCTTGCACATTGTTCACATGCTATTCATTTTCTTTGCTCATATTCAGCAGTGTGTTTGTGGTGGGTACTGCATGTGGAATGCTAGTAAAGTTTATAGAGCGGCAGCAGTAAATCCAGTGGAAATTCAGCAGCTTTTTTTCACACAACACAAGTGGCCACAGCTTCTGGACATCCACTCTCAGAGTCTATTTTATAAATTTTTTTGTTACATGTGGTTATGAAGGAATTGCTTGCTCTCTTTCTTTTTCTGTTTGTTATTGTCAAGTTCTCCCGCTGTTTTTATATGCACTGGCGTATGAATCAGAGCAGGGTGTGGTTTTCTACTGATTTCCATACTGTTGATTACGTTACAGTAATGTGGCATCTTCTGCCCTCAGGAAGTTTCATGTGCATGCATATGCGTCAACAGCTTTGCAGCGAAAACATTCTTCTAACTTGCGTAGTGTGATGTGCATCTGAGTGAAATAGTGTATTAAGTGGGAAATAATGTAGGGAAAGACTTATTTAATTTTTAGAAAAAAATTTTTTTGTAACTTTTGAATTGTTAATCATTATTGCTGTTATTTTTATGTATCACATATTATGTATTATGTTACTTATTTTACTTTTTTTGGTAAAGTTTTGTAAAATGTTGTCGCACTTTGAATATAAGAAAGGCACATTACAAATAAAATGCATTTATTATTATTACTCTATTATTACTTAATTTTTTAAGTTTTTTTTTTTAAGTAATATTATTTTGTTTGAGTTTTGCTGCCTGTGCTGATATAGTTATGTCAGCAACAAAGAAAACTACTTCTATGGAGGGAAAAAAATTATATTTGCCTTTTATAAAATGTTCGCAATTTAAACCAGGGACATATATTATTTGTATCATATAATATATATAGTTACCAATTAAAAGTAGCATTTTTAGTTTTTCACCATCAAAATTACAATCATTTTTAACAGTGAACTTTGGCAAATCCAGTGAGTACATTTTCATCTAAAAATATCTATTTTTCAAATAAAAATACTATATCAGGCCCGGGACCTTGTAAATATGACTTTCTGTCCAGATGGACAGATTAAAAAAAAAAAAACTGTGTATCCTCACTCCCAGTATAAATTCAGCCAATCAGAGTAGAGCTTGTCAGATCAAGAAAGCACTTTTCAGTTTAATGTGCAATATGCAACAGACAGTCAGTAAATGTGGCCAGTCTGAAAGAATCCACCTAGCAGCCGTCTAGAACACCTAGCAACCACATAACCTCTGACAACAACTCGGAACACCTTAGCAACCTTGTAGCAACATCCCTGCAAACATCTACAACAATGTGGCAGCATTTTCTAAAAGTAAAAATATAGTCGAGTTTTTGTTTTGTTTTTTGCATTGAGATTCTGATTTGCTCTTCCTTTCATTTCTCTCACAGCTCCTGAGGAAGAGGCACATAGGAAATGATATAGTCACGATTATATTCCAGGAGCCGGGAGCCCTACCGTTCACTCCACAGAATATTCGCTCTCACTTCCAGCACGTGTTCGTCATTGTCCGTGTGCACAACCCTTGCTCTGACAACACCTGCTACAGGTTGGCCTTGTTTCCATAGCAACCTTTGCTAAGAACAGTATTGCATGTTGGCCTGTAGCTGATTACTGAGATATGTTATGAACATGTAGCTCAGTGAGGAAAAACTGTGCTGGGATTGGTTGAAATAAGTAATCAGCTCTTTTTTCCTATAGTGTGGCAGTGACCCGCATGAAGGACGTCCCTCCATTTGGTCCGCCACTACCTTCAAGTGGCTTGACGTTCCGTGACCCAGCTGCCTTCCGTGCTTTCCTGCTGGCCAAGATCATCAATGCAGAGAATGCTGCGCACAAATCAGAGAAGTTCCATGCCATGGCAACCCGCACACGCCAAGGATACCTGCGGGACCTGGCGGAGAACTGCATTTCCACTACGCCACTCGACACGGCTGGCAAGCTGAACAATCTCATCTCTCTGGCCTCCAAACGCAAGGAACGCATCCGGGCACGGGAAGGAACGGAAATGGGTGCCTTAGGGGCGCTTGTTTGGCGCGTATTTGCGCAGGACTTCAGTGGCGGAGGCACCGAGCTTCCCTGTGCTCTAGCCATCTCCAACGAGTACATTGTCCTGGCGGACTGCTCCACCAAAGAGGTGATATTTAACTGTTTCTGTGCTGATGTGATTGGTTGGACAGCAGAGAGACTGGCACTGAAGATTTTCTATGGCAGAGGAGACCACGTTGCCTTACGGGTACCAGAGGGCAGTGCACAAGATATCAGAGAGGTGGTGCAGAGACTTAAGGTAAGGTACTGATACAACATACATGGACAGTCAATTAATTGGTTTGCATTATGGGATATGACATTTATAGTCTCTAATATCCTGTCTGTGTTTTTTTCCTTGCAGGCATTGACTATAGGTTGTGAGACAGTTGATATGACGTTACGACGTAATGGTTTAGGCCAGCTTGGTTTCCATGTGCGTCTGGCCGGAACTGTGTCTGAAGTGGAGGAATACGGCTTTGCTTGGCAGGCGGGTCTCCGGCAGGGTAGCCGTTTGGTAGAAATCTGCAAAGTTGCCGCTGTGATGCTCTCCCACGAGCAGATGATCGACCTACTGCGGACTTCGGTCACCGTAAAAGTGGTCATTATTCCACCTTTTGAAGAGGGAAGGGCCCGCAGGTGAGGCTTTTGGGAAATTGCGCTTATTCTTTTAGTTTGACGCCATTTTGAAATCTAGACGGCTGCTGTTTGAGAAATCAGATGCTGTTATTATTTAGCAAATCTCAAAATGAATATCCATTTTTCATACTGTACATAAATATTGTGATGCCAACATTTACTGCTAGCATTTAAAAAGATTGGCTTTAGATTCCTGTTTTATTTTTTCATTTATTTAGACAAAACAGTATACATTTTTAAATCTGCTGTTTATCAGTTATCAGCCATAACATGAAATGTAAAACAGGATCCAATGGATCCAAACATAATTCTAAAGAAATATAAGGTAACACTTTACAAAATCAAAAGTTGTATTTGTTAACATTAGTTAATGCACTGTAAACTAACATGAACAAACCATGATTAATAAATACTGTAACAAATGTATTGTTCATGTTAGTTAATACATTAACTAATGTTAACAAATGACACCTTATTGTTAAGTGTTACCAAATATAATTATGGATGCAGCATAATAATGGAAATATTGATCCAAGCATATATAGTGTTGATGCAAATAGTTAAACACAATGGTGATGCATTGTTAAGAGGTTTCCAATTAGAAAACCATGGTCCAGGTCAGAACCACAAATCATTTCTCATATGTATTTCATTTATATATCTTTTTTATAGCCTGTTCCTGTACATACCCTGAAAAAACGTTTTAATTGGTTTATTTAAAAATTCGTTGAGCAAGCCATAATACCATATAATTGTTCTTGCAGTAATTTGGGTTATTTCATTTCATATACTACAAATTCGCTTCTGAATCAGTTTAAGGTATGATTGTTTGGACATTTGCTGGGAAGGAATTGTAGAGATTGGACCTCTTGGAACTTTAATTGAATACCACTGCAGAGGAGATTTTGATCAGAATGTTAGATAGCTCTTGTGACTCCATTAAATTCATTCCGCTTTGATAAATCATTAATGGAGAACACCATAAAAGACTGTCGGACTCCAGCCTGTCTCATAGTCTAGAGACAAGAGCGTCGACTGCTTTCTTCATTCAGTGTACTGTTGCCTATGATGTTCCAGAGATCCAGAGAGCATCAAATTCATTACGTCTGTTTGTGCGGATGGTTTTAAAAATGCCAGATATACAGTACAGTGCAGCCCAGGTAAATTCCTGTGCAATCCTGGAATCCTTTTCTTTGGAAAAAGACAGAAAACATAAAATATAAATCCTGTCAGTGTTTTCACTTTCACAGAATAGACATTCTCTGACAGATGAAGGCAGGAAACTCAACTCAGCAAAAGTCATTCTGTACAGAAAACCGCAGCTTTAAGCTTAAAATCTGGGCAACAGCACATTTCAGATCTGACAGGGCTGTTGTTATTGGGTTTTTTTGCACTTTGCAGTTTGCACCCCTCTGGAGACCCATTCTCGTTTTGGAAAGATTAATGACGAGCCTCGTGGCAGAATTAATGCTGCTTGTTATAAATGCCCGCCGGCCGGAACCCCGCTGACATAATTCAAAGATTCAGTTTCACTGTTTTTATAGGTGATACAAAAAACACTACATGTATCTTCAAACAGGAGGGAAAAAGCTTTTGTTTCTCTCACTCGTATGTACCTCCTCTTTGTCTGATGCAACAAACACACACACACCCGTGCGCGCGTGCACATACACACACACAGGCACTCACCAGATTTTGAGAACGTTGGCAGACGCCTCAGTTCTCAGGGGAACAGTGAGTGGGAGTGTTAGAGAGAGGGACAGAGAAAGAGAGTGTTAGGAGAGGAGAGGAGAGAGGGATGGAACAGTTTACAAATGAAAACAGTGATTATATGAAGCCTCAATTTTGCTGCATCGAAAAGGTATGTATGCAGGCGCATCTAGACTTCTAAACTTCATATTTTGGCCTTCAAAATGCAATTTTTTACATTTATATTCTTAATGCACATTGTGTTTCATATCACATGTTTGACAGTTTAGCGGCGCATGACTCTGAACTTTCTTCTGAGTGGCTGCTGTTAGGGGCTAATTACTCAGCAGTGTGTTTGATTGCGTGTTAGCGGGACATGTGTTCGCCGTTGTGGTTAAATTACGCAAGTAAACTCCTTCTCTTTCGCGCACACATGCATCCCAACACCTCCCAACCCACACTGTGCCGTGGAACGAAAGAGCGTGTTAATTGCATGCTTCGACATGCTTGTCTTTCCGTCATTCTATCTGTTTCGTTTTCCCTCCTCTGTTTGTATCTCTTTCCCTCTCAGCGGCCCAGCCTCTGTTTGTCGAGGAGTGCCAGGGGAGCAGATTGCATGAGACTAAAGCCTGGAATCTGTGAAAAAGGGGCTATAAATAAATAAAGGGGGTTTAATTAAGAATGTGTTCGGCGTGAGGCTGACAGGGAACGGGCGGCGTGTTTGGCATGCAGGGAAAGAATATAAAGACGGTAGATGCTGAGGCATGTGTGAGCGCCTCCTCGCTCGGAAACAAAGTGGGAGGAACACCCCATTGAATTATAATGCAAACATTTTTATTAGTGGTCTCAGACTTTAGGGCATCTTTGTAGGTGGCAGGTTTAAATAAACATGAGTTATACCAGTACAGTTGATAGTTAGTATTACGTTTGCATCTTCTGTCTCTATCTGTCCTCTATACATTCTCAGCGTGTTGGTGTAGTCAGTCAGGGCTAGTTTCTGTGCCCTTGTGGTCTTCAGAAGAGAGTTTTTTGCTGTATTAGATGCGCTGTGGAGTCTGGTGTGTTTTCCACTCTCTCCCTCCTCCTCTCGCTCTCCTCCTTCCTTCCTTTTGTCTTATTTTGGCTTTCTGACTCTCGGTTTGTCTGTCTTTTTCTCCCTCCCTGTGGATGGAGGATAATAATAGGTAGCAGCATACAATAAAGATGATTATGTATGAAATATAGATGTCAAGGGGCAGAAGGTGCTACTAGAGTAAAGGTTGGAATATCAGGTGAATTGTGAGACTTTGGTTATTTTTGCTAGTAGCTGGATGGGTAGGATAGCCAGGATAGCAGTGCTTTAATGGACTTCCTGGTCTTGTAACTATACACTACTGGTAAGATTTTTTTAGTTTTAATGTTTATAAAAGAAGCCTCTTAAGCTCACCAAGGATGCATTGATTTGATCAAAAAACAGTAATATTGTGAAATCTTATGACTGTTTTAAAATGTAATGTATTCCTGTGATGCCAGAGCTAAATTTCCAGCAGCCGTTACTCCAGTCTACAGTGTCACATGATCCTTCAGAAATCATTCTACTATAATTTTTTTTATTTTCTTTGTGGAAACCGTTACTTTTTTTTTCTAGATTCTTTGATGAAAAGATAGTTTTCTTGAAATAGACGTTTTTTGTAACATTATAGATGTTTTTATCATCACTTTTAATAAATTGAATGCATCTTTGCTGAATAAAAGAACTGAACCTCAGCTTTTGAAACGGTACTATTAGTTTTGAATGATTTTGTCAGGAGAGTAAATGACCCTCTCTGCTTACAAACTAAATGGGGGTAGATGAGATTGATAAAGTTGATGTTTAGAATAAAGTCAAATAAAAGGACGGCTACCTTGACATGAGTCCTTGTTTGAAAGTGCTGACGGGGG